AAGGGCAGTGTCATCTGTGTATCTGAGGTTATTGATATTTCTCCCAGCAATCTTGATTCCAGCTTATGCTTCATCCAGCTCAGCGTTTCTCATGATGTACTCTGCATATAAGTTAAATAATCAGGGTGACGATATACAGCCTTGACGTACTCCTTTCCTAATTTGGAACCAGTCTGTTGTTCCATGTCCAGTTCTAACTGTTGCTTCCTGACCTGCATACAGGTTTAATTAACTGTGTATGTGAACTCCTTGGTCTCTGTCTGTTGTGGATACTCATCTGTAAAGTGGGATTAATAATAGTACTTACTTTGTATGCCACTGTTAAGTAAGTTGGGCTGCCCTGGTGGCTCAGTGGTGAAGAACCTGCCTGCCAGTGCAGAAGCTGTGGTTTCCATTCATGAGTCAGGAAGATCCCCTGGAAAAGGAAACAGCAACCCACTCCCGCCTTTTTGTGTGGAAGATCCCATGAACAGAGGAGCCTGGTGGACTACAGTCCATGGGGTCACAAAAGAGTGGGATATGACTTAGTGATTAAACAAAAATTAAATGAGTTAATATAAATAAACAAATTTGTTAGAAATGAAAAGTTGACCCATAAACAAGGAAGGAGTTTGAGGTGCTGACCCCCCGTTCAGTGTAAAATGGGCATTTACCTTTACAGCTCGCTCTCCATATCTGTGGTTCTGCATCTTCAGATCTGCAGATCATAGTCCTATAGTACATACTTATTGAAAAACATCTATGTATAAGTCGACCCACACAGTTGAAACCCATGTTGCTCAAGGATTATCTCTACTTGATTTATAATTGGCAATATATGTTGTGTTGTTTGTATTTCATATTAATTTTATTCTGTTTCTTTTTTTTTCTATTTCCTTACTTTTGCTGATTTTTCTGTTCTTAAGTTATCCCACAACACTTTAAAATTAGAATTTGTACTGAGTATATTTTTCCTTTGATAATGTGCTTATTTTAACAGCAGTGTATATGCATACCTATACTTACTGATTTTAAAGGAATGTAATAACTATATCCTTTTTTGCACTAAGCTATGTGACATATCCCAGTTCCTTCTTAGCCCACTGAAATTTTCCAAAGTGATTATTCCACTTTTCACTGTCTCCAGCAGTTATGAGAGGTTCAGGAGCCCCACATTATATTACCATGCCTAGTTATTTTCAGTATGTTTCATTATAGCCATTTGGGAGGATATACAGTTAAATTTCATTGTGTTTTAATGTGCATTTCCCAGATTATTGGTAATTTCTGGTACTGTTTCCTGTGTTTATGCCTTTGAATTTTGCCTTTTGTGAAGTATTCAAGTCTCCCTTATTTTTATTATTATATCTTATTTGCAGTGGTTAATGATGTAATCTGTATATAAGTCCTTTGTTTGTATTTATTCCAGATACCTCTTCCTTTTCCCATAATAATGTTGTTTGGTGAACACAGTTCAAATTCTTAGTTTACTCAGATGAATAGTCTTTTTGGTTAGTATTTTTTGTGTCCTAAAGCCCTTTCTCAAACAAGAACCAAGATCATGAATATATTCTGATATATCATCATTTAAAAGACAGATGAAACATGTTTGAGATCTTTTCCTTCTTTTAAGTTCTTAGAAAAGTTTTGAGAAAGTAGTGCTATTTCTTCTTTAAATGCTTAGTCATGTTTCCTGGTGAAGCACTTTGAGACTGGGTTTTTGGGGAAGAATTGATTAGAGTTCAATTTTTTTAAGTTTTGTGGCTGTTAGATTTTCTAATTCTTCATGGGTCAGTTTTGGTAAGTTGTGTTTTCTTCAGAAATGTCCTAGAAAACACTTCTTAATTTGTTTGCATCAAGTTATTTATAATATCTTCTTAATGTTTATTTTTCCCTTTTAAAACCAATTACTCTAGAATTGAATTTTAAATTTGAATTTGTATATTTATTTTGCTCTAGGGATTCTCTCTCTCTCTCTCTCTCTCTTTTTTTTTTTACTGTGTATATTGTTTATCCAATGTTTTCATTCCAGTTTGGAATTCTTCTTTCTTTCTTTCATTATTTCAGCCTACACAGAGTCTCCTATTCTAACTTACTGTCAGTCTGACTCCTTCAAGCCACAGTACTTCATTAATTGTGTTCTTATTCAGCTTACTATTTACCAGTGAGATGTTTAATTTTTTAGCACCTGGGCTGGACAGAATTTTGGGGGCTATCTCAGGTGGAGATATTGACAGGCCTTGGTAACCAACCATTCAATTTTGTTTCTATGATTTTTGACTGTTTTAGATAGCTAATAAGTAGAATCAAACAGGATTTATACTTTTGTGGCTGGCTCATTTTTAGTTATCATACTATCCTCAAGATTTATCCATATCAGAGCATGTAATAATTTTTTTTTAAAGATGAATAATCCATTTTCTGCGTATACCGCGTTTCATTTATCTATCAATAGATATTTGAGTTGCTTCCACCTTTTGGTTATTGTAAATAATGCTGCAGTGAACATGAGTAGGCAAATATTACTTCAAGACCCTGCTTTTAATTCTTTTGGATATATACTGAGACGTAGAATTGCTGGATCATATCGTAGTTCTGTATGTAAATGTTGAGGTATTTTTATACTATTTTCCATAGTGGTTTCACCCTGTTTTATAATCCTACCATCAGTTCATGAAGGTTCCAGTTTCTCCACATCCTTATCAACACTTATTATTTTCTGTTTTTTTTAATAGTAGCCATCCTAATGGATTTGAAATGATATCTCATTGTAGTTTTGATTTGCATATCTCCAATGATAAGTAACATTGACCATCTGTTTATATGCTGTTGTCCATTTTTTTTACCTTTGGTAAAATGTCTATTCAAGTCCTTTTCCCATTTTTGGTACTTTTCCTCTGTTTTCTGTTAGGAGTTTCAAAGTTTTAGGTCTTTGTCTTAGATCTTAATCCATTTTGAGTTAACTTTTATATATGATGTAAGATGAAGTCCAATTTCACTCTTTTGCGTGGGCATATCTAGTTGTCCCAACACCATTTGTTGAAGAACCTATTCATTCTTCATGGGCTGTCCTTAGCACACTTGTCAAACATCATTTGACCATAGACGTAAGGGTTTCTTTCTTGGTTCTTTATCCCGTTGGTATTTATGCAGGTCATGCTATGGACATTCTTATGCAAGTGTTTTCTGGACATATTTCCTTCTTTTAGGTATCAGGATTGTAATTGCAGGGTCACAGGATAGGTATATGTGTAATTTAAAAATTGCCAGACAGTATTCTGAAGTGGCTGATACAATACTTAGTATTATCAGTCTTTTAAGTTTTATCCATTTTGTTAAGGTAGAGTCACTTTTAAAAATCTTTTCATTGAATTGTTATTTAAGGATTAATTTGAGATAACTTTAAGTCCTTCGATATGTGTTCATTTTTTTTACTCTTCCCACTAGAGTATAAACTTTATTAGATGCTATTTGCTGCTTAATTTCTGATGTTTGCTGACATTGGGCAGGTACTCAGTGAAAGTTTATTTTGAATGAATGAAATGAGTGAACAAATAATTAAAACATGCATATTTACCTTTTTCCTGATAACTCTGGGATTTGTATACGTCAGATATATCTAGGATCTTCTCCAGAGTCAAATAATTAGTCATGAATATTTTGGTGGGTGGGTTTCTCAGGTGGCACTAGTAGTAAAGAACCTGCCTGCCAATGCAGGAGACGTAATGCAGTTTCAATCCCTGGGTTGGGAAGATCTCCTGGAGAAGGGCATGGCAATCCACTATAGTATTCTTGCCTGGAGAATCCCGTAGACAAAGGAGCCTTGCAGACATGACTGAAGCAACTTAGCACAGCACAGCACATTTTGGTGGTTGACTCACCTTAGGAAAAATACGGCAGGGCAAAGTGTTAGGAATCTATATTCAGTTCACCAGGTGCCGATAGTCTCCCACTGAACTATATTTTAAAACTTAACAGCGTAGTAACGTTAAAAGGCAGGATAGTTTTAGAAATTAGGAAAAGCAGTTCATCTGTAGAAACATTGTTCAAGGACTTTAGTTTCATTTTTAAAACCATAGAGTTGCTACTGATTTTAAAGGAAATGAATTATTTTTGTAATACAGGTTTATATTCTGTCTATCCTTGTAATACAACTAAATCTTGATTGTCGTAGTATTGATGATTTGACTTATGAACTATCCAGAACCTTTTATTTCTTCTTACCTGTTTTCTATGATCCACTTTCCTGTTCTAAATACTTTCACCAAACAATTACCAGAAAAATTAGCAGAGAAAAATAAGAAAGAGAGTAGAGGAATAAATTGAAGGAGAAGGAAATAAAACAAACACTCAAGCTGCCTATGAAGTTTTTTCCATTAGCACAAATATCGTGAATTTAGAAGTGACTTTTATAGAAGGACTTAAAGTGGTTGCCGTAATAATCCCTAATGTTTTAGCAATTTTAATGCTGTATTTATATATAAACAAACATAGTCAAAGTAATCAGGTATTTTATATAATCAATTACAAAATTTACATCAACATTTGAATTTCTGGGTTTGAATGCCATCTATTGTTATATGGATTCATTTTCTTTTGGTGCTCTTTAGATATTGCATAACAAAAAATATATTTGTTTTCTGTACTTTATGAAGCTTTATCCCATAAAATATAATTTCTCTGTAATGAGATTGGATGCAGTCAGTGGCTTGAGGACCCAGTTTGCCTACTGAAAAAAGCCTAAGTTCTCCTTGATTTGTTTTTATTTTCTCCCCAGGGGTTAATACACATTTTGAATAGTCATGGCCGTTAAAGTAAGACTTATATATGGTTTTGTTAGTGCAATCTATGAAAATGTGAGGATTATATTACTATGAGTAATAGTAATGCTTATGATAATGCGGTATAAGACTTTAAAATAAATTTTTTCTCCTTATATTTCACATTGGAAGCAGCTGTAAAAGTATTAAATATTTTTGGCCCTTCTATTCTGTGCAGTATTTTGATTCACATCTAATTTAATGACTCTACATTATTGTATTCTTTCCCCACCAGAAAGTGAAATAAAGAAAACCACTTTACCCTTTCATAACTACAGCGACATGAATGAAAATCTCAGTATAAAGGAGGAAAGAGTTTTAGGATACACTTCAAAAAATATATCTTTGGAAGATGAAAGAAGTCAGTTGCATTCCAGGAAAAAACGTTTTTTATCATATCCAAGATACGTGGAAGTTATGGTTACAGCTGACTCTAAAATGGTTCATCATCATGGACAGAACTTGCAGCACTACGTACTAACTCTGATGTCAATTGTAAGTAAACTTAACAGGTCCTTTGTATTTTCTAAAATGTTTTACATAATATTTTTTCACATATATTAAAAATTTCCCCAAACTTTAGATGTAAGCAGATTGTTTATATTTAAGCCAAAATATCTTAATGAAATTTAAATAGATGTTTATAGCAAGTATTCCATTCTGTTACTTGGACAACTTTAAAAAAAATCTAAAATCCTTTTAAACAAACCACTTAGAGAAAGTGCTTCAATCTTGACTTCATCACGTGAATGACTTCTGCCCCCTAGTGACAGAACTGATCTTTTGCCCTTTGAATCTGAATTTTTAATCTTGTTTCTGTATAGATGGAGGGGATACTAATTTTACTACTACTGCATTCACCAAATCAAATTGGGACACATCTTTTGAGTTATAAAAGTATTTATGGTAATAAAAGGATCTTTATTATTAATAGAGCTGCTTTAACAAACTTGGGATGTAAGACCACAGAATCTTGAGATCAAGGCATTTGATCCTATCACTGCATGGCAAATAGTAGGGGAAAATGGAAAAAGTGGCAGATTTTATTTTCTTGAACTCCAAAATCACTGGACGGTGACTGCAGTCTTGAAATTAAAAGACATTTGCTCCTTAGAAGAAAAACGATGATAGACCTAGACAGTGTATTAAAAAGCAGAGACATCACTTTGCTAACAAAAGTCCATAAAGTCATAGCTATGGTTTTTCAGTAGTTATGTATGGATGTGAGAGTTTGACTGTAAAGTAGGCTGAGTGCTGAAGAATTGATGCTTTCAAACTGTGGTGCTGGAGAAGACTCTTGAGAGTCCCTTGGATAGCAAGGAGATGAAAGCAGTCCATCCTAAAGGAAATTAAGCCTGAATATTCATTGAAAGGACTGATGCTGCAGCTGAAGCTCCAATACTTTGGCCACCTGATGTGAAGAGCCAACTTGTTGGAAAAGACCCTGATGCTGAGAAAGATTGAGGGCCAGAGGAAAAGAGGGTGACAGAAGATGAGATGGTTGGATGGCATCATGGACTCAACGGTCATGAGTTTGAGCAAACTCAGGGAGATAGTGAAGGATGGGGAAGCCTGGCGTGCTTCAGTCCGTGGGGTCTCAGAGTCAGACACAAGAGTCAGTCAGGCAGAGTCAGTCAGTCACTTAGTGACTGAACAACAACAGCAAACAATCAGATCACAGTAGCTATAAGAACTTTTGATCTGATGTTAACGTCTCTGTTGAGCAGTGGTGGTGGCATATGAACAGATTTCCAGTGCCAGTGAAGAACACCAGTTCCGAGTTGGTGGTAGCGCTCTATATACATAAACGGACATAGGCGCACAGATACATATGTATGGGCTTCCCTGGCAGCTCAGATGGTGAAGAATCTGCCTCCATGCAGGAGACCCAGGCTTGATTTCTGGGTGGGAAGGATCCCTTGGAGAAGATCCCCTGGAGAATGGAATGGCTACCCACTCTGGTATTCCTGCCTGGAGAATTCCATGGACAGAGGAGCCTGGTGGGCTTCAGTCCATGGGGTCACAAAGAGTCGGACAGAACTGAGGGACTGACACACACACACACAAATATATGCACACATATACCTACTGTCTGCGACATTCCTGGATTAAGTCCTGTTCTTTTGAAGTAATTGCTAAAAGCAGCTCTTTCATGCTCAGGAGTATCTTGGTTTAGCTGATGAAATTTATAGTTTCCTCTGTTTATACACATTCAGGGTATTGTATCATACCTCATATTCACAGGGAGGGAATTCAGGTCTGCTTGGCTGAAAAGATGGGACCAGGACACATCTATTATAAAGAACTCTCCCATCAACTTCATTGTGACTGGAAAGACCCTAAGACCTTGTTATTTTCCTTACATATAGCATTTTATCTTAAACTCTTATAAGTGCTAGGGATACATTGCTTCTGCTGCCTAAACAAAGTATCTGATATGAAATGAGCACTCAATAGTTAGTAAAAGAATAAGTAAATAAATGATTAAGGTAATACTTTTTTCAGAATAAGTGACGTTATGATGGGCAACAAGCAGATATCATCTAAAATGATTTTTTGAAATTTGTACAGTGTAGATGTGTTTTATTTACTTGAATTGAATTTTTAAAGTGACAACACAGCTCTACATACAGATTTATGTTGATTATCTTCTAACCTCTGAATCTGAAGTAACTATCTAGCTGTATAATTATCTAGATGTGTAATTATTTAGGTGTCGCCTGTTCATTGTGAAGAGGTTCTAATGAGAACATTGACATGAAAGATGCTGATTGATATATAAGAAACTATATCATTTATATGGAATAGTGCGGGTTAAACTTGGAAATTTTATATGGTTGAAGAAGATATTCATTAAGAAAATTGGGAAGGTGATAGAGATACTGAAGAAAAATATTAGATTTTATAAGTACAACAGGTTTTGATGTTAAGTGACCACTCCCATATCAGTGCTTTGGAAATACTGACTCTAAGAGTTACAGGAACACAAGAGTAATTTTTGAAGAGCTACATACAGTTTTGGTGATGGTGCCATCCTCAGAAAAGTTTTGTCATATGTATTTTATGATAAAAATCATTATAATCACAGTATCAATTAAAAGATATTGTGATGTACCTTGTGAAGTTGTCCATGGGGGCTTTAAAATCAGAATTCATCAGTGACAAAGTCAACCTTCTGACATCATGGAAAGTAAATCTGGTTCTGAGATTGCTTGAAACCGAAGATGAATGCATGCAAGTACCATTCTCTCGATGTTTAATCCCATTAGGAGAGCCTGTTTCAGTTAAGATGAAATGTTCGTAGATTCTGTCAGTTAGCTTGTGTTTAGCTTTCTTTCACAGGGAAGTACTGCCACAGTTGAGGAATAGGGGGATATTCCAAATATAGATGTTGTTTAGTTATGAAGTCATGTCCGACTCTTTTGCAACCCCATGAATGATAGGAGGAAAAATTTAGGTGGATATATCTCCCTTTTGAGGTAGTTTTGGTTTTATACATGCTTTTTTTCCTCTTCAGAGATCTGATTTCAGATGACTTAAGATTACCTGGGTTTTTGTTTTCTCTATTCCTTTTTTATTTCATTAAATGTTTAAATAAGGATATAGGAAAGTCAGCAGACTTTGTGATTTTGGACATGCATTGTTATTTTATTAGATAACAACAGTAGCTATAGCTATGTTTGTAGATGTAAACCATATTAAAGGTGAAAAGAAACTTGGAGAAAGAGTCAACAGACTTGTTTTGCTTGGGAGTTTCTTAGTTTTAGTATCAAAAGTCTTATATCCCTGGGAATCCCTCAGTCCTGAGCAGACAGGGACAGCTGGTCACACTCCATGGAGACTCGTCAAATATAATCCAGCTTGTTTTATCTGCACTTGTGAAGTCCGTTTCCAGATTGCTCTAAAGAAGTAAGAGGAATGCTGTCTCCCCAAAACTGTCCCCAAATGTTGCCAGTTGAAGAAGAAGCCATTCAAGTTTTGTGTATGTCCTAATTTTTAAAGAGACATTAACTGTATTTATTCAGACACACTTGGTGTGTTGCTAATATTTTTTGGTCATAGTAATTTAGGAAAAAGACAAGAACATGTGATTTAGACCTGGAATATGATTGAGAGTCATTTAAAGAAAAGTTCAAAGTGAGGAAAGAGATTTTGTGTTGAGCTCCAGATATAGTGGGGGAGATTGCCGAATGCTTTGAGCATTGAGCAGATGGATTGTATACATAGGTTAGAGAGGGGATTATCTACCCTTACTCATCCCATACAAAGTAAACAGTTCTGCTGTCTTCTCAAACTTTTCCTTTTCTTTCAACAGTTTAACAATATCTGAGTGCAGTAGATATAGAGATATGTGTGATTTAATTCACCTTTTAGAGGGCTTTACTCATGTTGTAAAAATAGCTTAGTGATCTCCATTCAAAGAGTTTCTAGAAATAACATTAAAATTAGCTGGGAAAAGCACATTTGTGGTGTATAGTGTACCTAATGAAATAAGTGTGTGTTAAATGAGCAGGGATGTTCAGTTTTTCACTACTCTAAAATTTTTCCTTAGAGAATTTGGGTGATATTATCAGGTTAAAATGTCATTTTAAATTCATTATTAAACTATTAAGATGTATTTAAATTAGGAAGATTACTTTTCTCAACAGATTTATTTTGATGTGCATTGACTTACTGTTTAATAAACCTTGGAAATATTGTCAGAAGCCCCCACACTCCTTTTGTTTACAAAGTTTGATGTGATAATATTCACCTTGTTACAGATTTAATAATGTAAATTTCAAGAGCATCATTTGTCAGGAATTAGCCCTATTTTTAAAAACACAGTTGCTATTAGAGGCATTTATCAACTAGAAAGTTTCACCTACATTACATTGACTTAATATCATTGCTTTCAATTCTTTGAGTTGTCTTTACTGATGTTATTTAGGATGGGGAAAATTTTCAACCACATTAGAATAAAAACTAATGATTTGCTTTCATACATCACATTCAACCATTTTATGTTACCTTTTCCTTCAACTCGGTGCTCTAGCTGTTCTTAATTCTTTGCATATATTTTCTTTGGACATATGTGGAATGTCATTTTCTAACTTAAAAACAATAATATCTTTCTGATGAGCAAGGATCTTTGTAAAAAAATCCATTCACTTTATTAAAATCAGATTTTTTTATAGATAACTTCAAAGGTGAAGGTTGTCAGAAGGTACAAATATCCAGCTATAAGATAAATTACTCCTGGGGATGTAATGTACAGCATGGTGACTGTAGTTAGCAATACTGTATTTTGTATTTGAAAGTTGCTAAGAGATTGATCTAAAAAGTCCTTATTAGAAAAAAAAATTACAACTATATATGGTGATGGATGTTAACTAAACTTATTTTAGTGGTCATTTGCAGTACATACACACACACACACACACACACACACACACACACACACATCAAATCATTGTATACCTAAAACTAATACACTGATATATGTCAGTTGTTAA